AAACATTCTGGAAGGGTGGGCAGGGCAGCTTATAATGCCCAGAACAATGGCTCTGAAGTAAGCTGTGATGGCTGCAGATAGGCTGTAAACCTAGAGAATACATGGTCCTGTTCTGAGTCTCCTGTGTGCTGACTCTCAGACCTTGGGAAAGTTACTCAACCTCTTGCCTCCCTTTCTTCATCTGAAGGATGGGACTACTAAAGCACCTACCTTATGGCCATTAAATGTTCAATGAGCTGCCCATGAGTCGTGAGTCACATGGGAAGACTAAAGACCTGTGACACACAGTGCCAGGTAAGTGCTCAATGTTAGCAATTATCAACTTGCCCCGTGGTATAATGAGGGAAGGAGTCACTTCTGAGAAATATGTCTCCAGGAAAACTAAGCCCTAGGAAAAAAAACAGATGGTTGGCTCCTATTTTCCTTCTAGAAGCTCTGTCATTCTCTCAACAGGACAGGGACAGGGACAGGGACAAAATGTTCATACCTTGGCTCAATGACTTGGAGGGACCCACAGCTGGATTTGAGGTATGAGTTCTTCTTGGGCAGCTAGAGACAATTGAGGCTGAGAAATAGGAGGGCGTGATGCAGCTGCCAGGAGAGCTGTTCAGGAAAACCAGCCCAGAACATTAGAACCAGACTCAGAAAAAGTAAAAGGAGGTTCAGTAGGTTCCTCCACCAACTGGCTCCTGGCAACTTTTAGCAGAAGATGATCGGCCCAGCAAGGACACACTACAAATACAAGGCTATTAAGGACAAGCCTCAGCTCTGTTCCCCCATAGCTAGAAAAACAGTTCCAAGTCTTTCATGAAGGAAAAAAATGGCATTTGAAGAGGACTTATGCCTGAGACATACATATAGAAGTTCCAATTTTCTTTTTATGCGCCAATGTCAAATCTTTGCCAAACGGGTGTTGCCCAGCCCTGGCCTTTTGATTAAGCATGTGCATTCAGAACCAGCCTGCCTGTGCAAGCCCAGCTGCTTTCTGGGTATGCAAACTGTGCGGGAACCCGGGGCCTCACACTAGAAGGGTCCCTCACACTAGTTTACTGCTCTGCAATGGTTATTTTGATTTTCATCTTTTTTAAAACAAAGTTCCGTGTTTTTATTTACACTAAGCCCTGCAAATTATGTAGCTGGTCCTAGTGAATGACCCTGAGCTCCACTGCTTACTAACTCTTGGAAATGGATAACTTCTCTAGGCCTCAATCTTCTCACAAATATAATAAAATTAATAACAGTACCTACCTGATGTGATTCTAGCAGACTGTATATGCACAGCATAGTGCCTGACGTCCAGTAAATGGTAGGCACAAAATCTGATGAAAACTAAATTACCTCAAACAAAAAATAAAGACTGCTCTTTGTATCCATGGATTAAAAATCCAACCCAAGTGCAGTGTAAGTATAAACAAGCAGCTGCTTCAGTTCCTTGGCAGATACGACTCTAACTGAGGCTGCCAGGCAAGTAACACATTCAACCAACACCTGGCACCTGACCAGGTGCTCTCTCTGATGTAGGCACAGCCAGGTGAGTAAATATGAAAATGGCTCAAAGTCTGAAACCTCGTTGCATTTCATATCTGTTGGTATGAACGTCACCACTCCCTGCCCTTCTGCACATGATGGTTGGTGGGAAAGGATCTGCACACAGGAGTGAGCATATCCTTGCCCCAGCTCAGAAGAGCTACTTTCCTGGGATCCCCTAGCAGAGCTGATAATCAAAAGCAAGTGGGCCTTACATCAGAATTAGTTACAGAGAAAATAGAGAAGGTATATGGTGCACTCAGCAAAGACTGAGCAGAGTCAGGTCTTCTTCCTTCTTGTGTGGTGCTGGTTTGGAGAAGTGCCTGAACCTCTCCCTTTGCTATATGGTCATCCCTTGGTATTCTTAGCGGGGAAGCCCCCCGGGGCCCCTGCAAAAACTCCACAAATGCTCAAGTCCCTTATATAAAATGGCTTAGTGTCTGCATACAAACTGCACACATCCTTCCCTATATTTTAAATCATCACTGAATTACTTGTAATACTTAATATGATGCAAATGCTGTATAAATACAGTATTCATTATCTTCTATCACAGAACAGTAAGAAAAAAGTCTGTACATGTGTGGTACCAATTCGTTTTTGGGGTTTTTTTTTTCTTTTGTATATTTCCAATCCACAGCCGGTTAAAAATCAACACAGATATGGAAGAGTAACTGTACAAGTATAAATCTTTCTGAATAAATCTCAGCTTGCAAAACACATTTTCTAAAAAGTGCTTTGATATTCTCAGATAAA